TTGGAGCATAATTTCCAGAAGTTATATATATATATATATATATATTTCCAGAGTCTGTGTATACGTCCGCAACGACATCTGCTGTAAGCGTCTCCGTCACCTTGAAGACCCCACTTTCTCTACGATCTGGGTATTGATAGACACAGGAATGGATAAAATTATTTATTCTTGTGTCTATCGATCGCACAGCGGCGACCAGGACACAACTAGGCTCTATGAACACCTCAGTGAAGCCTCTGATGTGGCTCTAAATCGGTACCCTAATGCACAGTTGGTTTTTCTGGGGGACTTTAATGCCTGTCATCAGGACTGGCTGTTCCCATATCAGAAGACCGACCACGCTAGGAGAGAGGCGTGGAATTTTGCCTTGTCGCTGGGGCTCTCCCAGCTGGTACAACAAGTGACTAGGCTACCTGATGTGGATGGGCACACAGCCAACTGCCTCGACCTTCTGCTGACGACCGATCCAGACAGGTACGATGTTCAGGTTACCTCACCCTTGCGAACTTCTGACCACTGTCTGGTGAAATCTGTGTCGTTATATTCCCCACCTAACTACGATTTCCACGAAGTGCGACGAATTTGGCGATACAAGTCAGCAGATTGGGATGAGATGCGGCATTTCTTTGCATCTTATCCTTGGCGGCAGGTCTGCTTCTCCTCTGAAGACCCGTTGAGCTGCGCGGATGCCACAACCAATGTGATACGTCAAGCGATGGAGTATTTCATCCCCTTTGCTGACGTGCCCGTTGGTGGTAAAGCTCACCCTTGGTTTAACGCCGAGTGCGCTCATGCTGAAATGCACAAGCATATGGCGTACTTATCCTTGGTCGATGCTCGAGACCGTAAAGCTCCGGATGTTAGCCTTAAGAAGAGAGCCTTTAACCAAGCCGCCAAGTCATGCAAAAAGGCATTACGCCAAGCCAGTTTCGATCGCATTAAATGCATCGGCACAAAGCTCTCTGTCAAACCATCTGGCAGTACAGCCTTTTGGTCTCTCGCCAAAGCGGTCGAGACAAACTTCTGTCGGTCTACACTGCCTCCGCTGGTAAAACCAGATGGCTCACTGGCGCATGCGCCTAAGGAGAAAGCGGACTTATTTGCTTCTCTTTTTGCTTGCAATTCGCGTCTGGACAGTAGCAACAGCGTACCATCTCAATTACCTCACTGCGGTACCTCTATATCTGAGGTCCGTATCACCAACAAGGAGGTTCTTAAAACCTTGCGAAGTCTAGACGTGAACAAAGCTAGTGGACCTGATGGTATACCAGCTATAGTTCTAAAGGTCTGTGCACCTGAGTTGTCTCCTGTGTTGACACGCTTGTTCCGCCTCTCATTCAGGACTGAAATAGTGCCAAAATTTTGGAAGCTAGCCAATGTGCAGCCTGTGCCTAAAAAAGGTAGCCGTACCGACCCTGCCAACTATCGGCCAATTTCTATTATCTCCATACTCTGCAAGATTATGGAGCGTATATTGAACGCCCACCTCATGGCATACCTAGAGCAAAATGATCTCCTCAGTGATCGCCAGTACGGGTTTCATCGAAATCGATCAACTGGGGACCTTCTAGCGTATGCCACTCACATATGGGGTGAAACCCTCGAGAACAGTGGTGAAGCACTTGCTGTTTTCCTCGATGTTTCGAAGGATTTTGACAGGGTTTGGCACGCTAGTCTATTGGGCAAGCTTTCAGCGTACGGCTTATCACCTGGACTTTCTGAGTGAACGGTCTCTCCGGGTCGTCGTTGATGGCTGCTCATCCAATACTGTGGCGACTAACGCCGGTGTTCCTCTGGGGTCCGTTCTCTCCGCAACTCTCTTCCTGCTGCATATAAATGATCTGCTCATTCCCGGTGTCTATGGGTATGCAGACGACAGCACAGTTGTGGAGAGATACCAACCAAGCGCCCGGGCCAGTCGGGATCAAATCCATTCAGAAAGAGAGTCTATGGTTGAGCGTGTGAGTCTCACACTACAGGCAGTCTCCAAATGGGGCGATGCCAATCTCGTGAGATTTAACGCCTCCAAAACACAAGCGTGTCTTTTTCCCGCTAAAAGGAGCCCGCTCACCTTGGCTCCTACTTTTCGGAATGTATCCTTGGAGTACACTGACCGCCTTCAGTTGTTAGGGATTGAATATTCTCCGAACCTAAACTATGGGCGGTTCATTGAGTCCAGAGCCAAAGCAGCCGCAAGGAAACTTGGTGTCCTTGCAAGGGTGCGGCGGTACTTCACGCCGGGGCAGCTTCTTACCTTATACAAAGCGCAAGTCCGGTCGTGCATGGAGTACTGCTGTCATATATGGGCTGATGCTGCAAAATGCCCCATGGCAGCCTTGGACTCAGTGGAGAGACGTACTAAGAGGCTCATTGGTGACCTTGATTTGGTTGAAACCAATCTTGTCAGCCTCGAGCACAAGCGCAGAGTAGCCAGTCTCTCGGTATTCTATAGGATGCATTTCGGTGAGTGTGCGCAGGAATTACACGCCTTAACTCCTCCCTCTCCTTTTCCTCATCGGACAACCAGACGGTCGGCGGGTCTTCATCCCTTTCTTGTCGATATTCCACGCATTAGAACCAAATGGTTTGCTTCGTCTTTTGTAATGCGTACAGCAAAGGAGTGGAATAATTGGGATTGTGGTCAAGCACTGGCTGGCTTATATAAGTAAAAAAAAAAGCCATTACTACCACTCTGTAAAAAGAAAGCCAACCTTGCTCCCTTTTTGCGTCCAACTCGACTTTCGATGACGGGGGGGGGGGGACTCCTACTAGGGAGTAGCCGCCTAGGGTACGCCTAGGAATGCGTAGTCCCAAAATCATGGAAGACGGCTTTTGTCCACCCGATCCCTAAAAAAAGCTACTGCTCACACCGGTCTAACAAGCCTATCGCCTCCTTGTTCTCAGAAATAATGGAATCCATTACAAACTGTCAGCTTATGCGGTACCTTGAGGAACACCAGCTGACTAGTGACCGCCATTACGGTTTCTGTCGGGGTCGCGCAGCTGGTGATCTTCTTGTTTACCTAAATCATAGATAGGCGTAGGCGATCGAGTCCAAGGGGGAGGCATTGGCCGTTAGTTTGGACATAGGTAAGGCCTTCGATCGGGTCTGGCACAAAGCGCTTCTTTCGAAGCTTTCTTCCTACGGGCTTCCCGAGAAATTTTGCAATTGGATCACCAGTTTTCTGGCTGATCGGAACATCAAGGTCGCAGTAGATGGTGCATGTTCCGATTACAAGCCTATTAACGCTGGTGTTCCATAACGCTGCGTGCTATCATCAACGCTGTTGTGACATATTGCAAACCGGTAAAATTCATTGCTATGCGGATCACAGCACTGGTGATGCTCTATACACCGGCCGTGCCAATATTTCTCGGGAAAACGTCGCCGAGTACCGGAACAAACTTGTGCCTGAAGTCGAGTCTTTGCTGAACAAAGTCTCAGATTGGGGACGACTAAATCTAATCCAGTTTAATCCTCGGAAGACACAAGTTTGCGCGTTTACCGCTAAAAAGAACCCCTTTGTCGTATCTCCTCAGTTTCAAGGCACTGCCCTAGTTACCTCATCCAGTGTCGGAATCCTTGGCGTCGGACATAAAAAGTGGCGTGCAGTTTCGTGGTCACTTGCAAGAGAAAGCCAAAATGGTCCTCTAAAAGGCTTGGCGTGCTCAGCAGAGTGGGACAGTATTTCATGCCGGCACACCACCTGCAACTTTACAAGGTGCATGTTCGGCCTCACATGGAATACTGTTCCCATCTCTGGGCTGGGGCTCCCCAGTGCCAGCTTCTTCCACTTGTTCGCATCCAGCGCAAAAGCGGCTCGAATCGTCGACGACCGATTCCTTTCCGATCGGCTCGATTCACTGGCGCTGCGAAGAGATGTTGCATCTCTATGGATCTCTTTTGCAAAACAAAGATAATTTCAATGTCAGTCGCACTACCCCATAGCAAGATTCCATATGACATTATGTTATGGAAATTACTAAAATAAACTAATCTAGCTATTTCAACACATGTTTGACATCTAATCTTTTTAACAGCATATGCTGCAGAACTATGTTTGCTAGCCAGTTTAGATATATGAGGGCCTCATTGAAACTTTGCGTCAACTGTAATACCGAGAAAAACAATGTAGTCAACAAGGCCCAGTTCCTTCCCATTTAAAAGCACACTGGTATTCATCTTTTTAACATTAGGTGCAGTGAATTTGATACATTTTGTTTTATTGCCATTATTGACGTCAAACCAGTGTACTATTTTTGATATAGCATTATTCACTTCGTTGAAAGTGACAACCCTTAGTTGAAGCAAAACATGGCAAAGTAACCGTCACATTGTGGCATAACTAGTATGGTAATATTGCAAAGTAAGTTTTATAGATAAATGTTAAGACCAACACGTTAAAAACGATATATTACATTACCTAACCATCAATATTACGTTACTACAAAGATATAATACCTACATTCAGTGTTTCAAACAAAATCAACAACAGTTCTGGAGCACTGAACAAAAAAGTTACTTCGCCGGAACAACTCCGTGTTAAAATAAAATGCCAAAATTAACTCTCATGTTGCCATATCGAAAACAATGCTGTCAATTAGTTATTATTTTCATCCAAACAATGGCATATCTCGAAAAACGTTACGTTTTCCGTGTTAATCGTAATTTTTTACCAGTACACCCCTGATGGCAAAGTTAACTTCAATTCATAAAGTTGCCAGACTTGACTGTAGTCAAAGACCATAATTTATTATATCGATTTAAGGATTTTTTCAAAAAAAATCTTTAACTTTTTGGCATGAAATATAACCGGGCTTTCTCCGGGCATTGCTCTCTATCTGTTCGTAAAATTTCATTACAATCGGTTCAGAATTTTTTTTAAATGTTTTTTATGTCATAATAGCGCTTAGAACTTAATAAAAGCCAGTTATTTTTTAAGTTAATTTATATTTTATTATAGAAATAAAAGCAGTTACAATTTTTAGAAAAAAGAAACTTAGTACGGAATAGAACTCGGCAAGAATTCCCTGTAGATATTCTCCCAGAAATCGACTTCATCCTTGTCAGGTCTCGTTCCCATTGTTAAATTCTCGTTTATCTCGAGGTACGCCTGCTCATCCAAAGTATACGGTGTCCATTTAAATCCAAAACTATCATCAGGTGTGGGGTGTCTGTAATTAAATAAATAAAAAAAAATCTTTGAGTGTTTTGACGTGAGTTAAGTGTTAGTCTTACAAAGATTACAGCGTCCGAGAGTGGTCACATGTTGAATTGTGGGTATTGTAGATTTAGCGCTAAGTACTAAATTTTAGTAAATTGTACTTAAGTGACTTTATAGTAAAGTAAAGTACCGTGTAGTGGCTGTGTAAGAATATCGACTACCCCACATCGGCTCGTGGGTGTCGTAAGAGGCGACAGAGGGAAACAAACCAGGAGGTGGGCAACAGCGTCTTCCTAATAACGATTGCAATAAAAATAATCCGTGGTAACCAACCCGCTTGCCAAGCGTGGCAATTATGGAAAATATCCCCCCTATGAGACAATCTATGGGGGAGGCCTATGTTGCGTGTGTGTTCAGCAATGGACATTAATAAGCTGTAACGGTTACAGTACTATAGTAAATATAATAAGTAGAGCTAAATAGTAAACTGAAACAAGAACTACACCATCCGTTCCGGTGGCAGTAAATTCAGCGCTAGGTGGATAACTATATACTATTAAGCGCAATAGTTTTTTTTTAATTTACCACGTGCTTGGTGGTGAAAGAAAACATCGTGTGAAAACCTGCATATATGAGAAATATGAAAAAAATATTTAGAAGACATGTGAAGTTCACCAACACGCATTGCGGCAGCGCGGCGGACCCTTATTTGCCCTAAAATCCTTTCTGAAATGAAAGGCGGCCTGTACTTGAACTTTAAATACAATAGACAACACAGCGAAAAATATAGCTTTTTTTTGCACAGATGTTGGTTTCACATAAATTAGTTCCTATGCTAAGGACTTCTTTGTGAGTCTTCTTAATTGTAATGATATTAATTCTTTTGTGGTTATTTCTTTTTCTTTTACTTTTATAATTTGGTTTATAGTTTTAAAATTGAAGAACAAAAATATGTCTGGCGTTTTTCAAAATTGACGAAGACTGACTTTATTGGACAGAAGTTTTAGAAAATCTAAGATTTAAGGACATTTTAATGTCAAAGTGCTTAAAAATATTATTTGGAAATATTAGATACTAATTGTAAAAGACGCCTAGTTAGGCTTTTCACTCCTCATTTCTTTAGTAGGACTATTATGCAAAGTGTTAGAATGCCTAAAATACCTAATACCTTCAGAGAGAACGGATACTACATTAGACGCTGAGACTACCGACATTATCAGGTCGAAATTATTCACGCCAATAAAAGAGAGCAGCATCTTATTTACCAAACTTCCGTATCCGTACTGCCTGCTGCCATAGATAATTCGACTGCATAGTGTAGCATCTATGTAATGGCAGGTTGTGAAGCATTCTATGTTAGTGCTCAGAGGAAACAACATACCTTTAGTTAAAGTTACAGCCTATACACGTCCCACTGTAGGGCAAAGGCCCCCTCTCATTTGTGAGAGGGTTTTAGGGAAAGGAAATATTCGCCGCGCTGCCCAAATGCGTGTTGGCGAACTTAACATGTCTTCTAAGTAATTTTTCTTTTTCCTTAGACATGCAAGTTTCCTCACGATGTTTTCCTTCACCGCCGAGCACGTGGTAAATCAGCACTTAAAATTGCAATTAACGATTTCATTGGTATCAGCGGGGATCGAACCCGGATTTCTCGCGTACTGTGGAATTTCCAGCGAGCGCTTAGCTCATGAGCTACCACGGCTCTATACTACTTTATATACTACTACTCTATATTCTATTCTATATTACATACCTTTAACATTCTTTATTTCAAGCTTACTGGAAGTCCAAAGTCCAAGAGCTGCTGTGTCTTTTACCATCAAGTGGAGTCTTAGCTCGTTTGTCTCTTCAATTTAAAAAATGAATTTAGGATAGTCTAATATCCAATAGATTATGGTTTACTGACTCTTGATTTTAGTAAAACCATCTTTGACATATTTATGATGTTTTTTTTACAATCATCTAATATTTACTACATAAAATATTATTTAACCCATAAAAGATATCAAATACATATTTACAAAGTATTAGGAAAAAATATAAAAGAAGCTTTAATTTTTAATGACTTACTTACCCGTACTTAGCGAAATTAGTCCAGAGTTTCGTAACATTTTCAATTATTCTGAAACTTTTCGTGTTTTTGTCAAGTTTCAGGTTGACTTTTTTCATGGGGAACACATAATTCAATTCATCAGCGTGACAAACAGGTATTTTGTCTCCGACTAATTTTTCAAGTCGTAAAATATGTACCATAAAATTTCTTTCAGTTTTGCCGTTAAATTTGTAAAAATAAACGTTGGTTTTCTTGGAACAACTTCTTGCCAGTTGGAACATAGGATATGTAAACATGTTTAAAGAGAAAAATTTTATTAATTCGTTTATGTTTTCCATGTTAACCATTTCATTATTAAAATAAAACCTTCTTATTCTCCTTGCAACCTCAAACTGCTCCTTTAGCGTACAATTATGAGCAATAGGTTTGGGAACAAAAAATTCACGAAATTCATTAGCGTAGTCGCAAATCTTTTCTAACGGTATTCCCGTTCTCATGTTTATAAGACCTTCGTCTTCTGTATATCCCATTAAAAGATCAACGCCTTCGTGTATGCCGTTACGCAGTATTTCAGTCACATCTCCAAATATAAATCTTTCATTGTTGCCAAATTTCTTTTCATCTACAACGCCGAAATTGACATCGAATGATTCTTTGGCTTTTTCAGCCAATGTGATTGGTACTTGTATACTAATAAGGGATTCCTTTGGCAAGGATTTAAAGAATTCGTAAAGTTCTGTGTCGTCTTCAGAATAGAATCCAAATTTTCTGGCTAATGCAAGCGCTCTTTCTCGAGGTTCAAAAATATTACCCCATGGACAGGTGAAGGACCCACTTTTGACAATAGCGCGCTTAAATAGACCTTTTGTCATCGGTGATATCAAATGGTAGGTAACACTGCAACCACCAGCACTATGACCAAAAATTGTAATGTTTTTTGGATCACCACCGAAGTTAGCAATATTTTCGTTTACCCATCTTAATGCAGCTACTTGATCTTTCATTCCAGCGTTGCCTGGGACATCTTTTGTGTCTAAACAGAGAAACCCTAGAACCTCTAGCCTATAATTGAAGGTCACAAGGATCACTCCGTGTCTTACTAAGAATTCAGGACCGTACATATCATCATTACCACTGCCGCTGACAAGCCCTCCACCGTGGATGTAAAACATGACTGGAAAAGGAGTTTCCGGTTTAATTTCCGGTGTATATACATTCAAATACAAACACTCTTCACTGCCGGCTGGAAGTGAATCGATAGAATGCAAATCGAACTGATAGCAAATAGATCCAAATTTTTTTGCATCTCGGACTCCATCCCAAGGACTTTTCGGTTGCGGTGGCTAAAAAATTTGAATACAAACTTAAATATTTTACATTCATTGTGATATTCAAATAAAATTCAGAAAGCTTTTTATTTGAAAAGAATCGTGGGATTGCGTACAATGGGATTGGTAACAGACCGTGTAGTGGTGATCTAATAAATACCCACTACCACGTGTCGTCTCGTAGATGTTGTGAAAGGCAACAGAGCGAAACAAATTAGAAGATGGGCAACAGCGTCTTCCTAGTAAGAAATAAAAAAAATATGGCTATCCCGCCTGCCAACCATGGAAACTACAGCCTCTAGAGGCAAATTAAGGGGAGGCCTATATTTGGCAATGGACTCTTGACTGGCCGAAATGGTGGATTTACACGTGAGAAACTACTATAAGACATTCATAATATTATGATTTTGAATTTTTTCTTCAACTATATAAAGCAATAAATTTGAAAATTGTATTAATTATAATTGTAAGTGAAGTGACCTACCTTAAATCTTAGTTCACCAACAGGAGGCTCAGCGTAAGGAATGCCCTTAAAGCTACAATATGTTCCTCCTAAATAATTTTCATTCAGCTCTCCTTCCAACAATCCTTCCTTGACTTTAACTTGAACCATCGTTAAGGTTTATTACTGGTCTTAATCCTTGTAGTTGTTACTATATTATCCTTGTTATTAAACAGTTTTGGAAGAAATCCCTGTAAAAATTAATTTAATACGCTAAATGAAAATTATTTTTATAGATATTATTAAAAGATTATATTAAAGTAATAATATAAAATATAGAAAAATAAAGCTTATCATTTTATGTAAATAAGAGAGCTCATTTATTATAAAAATACCTAAAACATGGTTAAAGTCCATCAATAATCAAAAGACTCGAGCGTATTTTAGAAAGTGAAATATCTTTACTGTGAACCAACGATCAGCATAATAGATATTAAAAAAAGGTTTTATTGAAAAGACATTGTCATCCGGCATCACAAAGGGTTTTTAAAATTGGTTCTGCAGTCCGGAAGATCGGATATCTAAGTTAATAATTACCTTTGATAAAACGAATAAAATACCTAGCACATTGTTACTGCTATTATAAAGATGTGAGTGTGTGTGTGGATACTTTATTAAAACAAAAAAGGTATATAAAATCAGTCACCAAGTAAAGACAGACCAAATTGCATCTTATTTATTATCATCACCATTACAGCTCTAACAGTGGTAGAGCCACGCGGCAGCTTCTGCTGTCGCACGGATGGGCCGGCTCGAACCAGGGTGGTACCACGACCTCACAGAATACCAGCGTGAAGTAGAGGTTTACCTCTGCGTTTCGCTTGGTGAGTGCAGGTGGCCGGAGGCCCTTTTTACTGGAAATGAGACATTCCATCTTAGTCCTCACGGGTGGCAACGCAAACGAGGATAGATATAGATGTCTATGGGCCGCAGTAACCACTTACCATCAGGTGGACTGTGTGCTCATTTGTCACCCTTATCCTATAAAAAAAAGCTCTGTACAAGTTCACTGCTGAACAAAACACGGTCCTGAGCCACTTGCACCCATCGAACAAATCGCACCGTAACTAATTTTTTTAAGGAAAAGATTAACTTTATTTATTAAATAACTTCAAAAAAGGAAGGTTCTCTGTTCTGTATATCCCTTCGCCTTATGTTTGTATAAGCGCAATTATTGCAAAACTATTCGACCGATTTTTATGATTCTTTTACTGAGGTATGTGCATACGGGAAGCTTAGGAAAAGGTTTTAATTTCTGTTATTTGTATAAACATTTGTACTTGTTTCACTTGTGTGAAAAAATGTATATCCAAATCACAAAAATGAAGCTGTGGTTTCACGAAGTGACAATAATTGCAAGTATAAAATAAAAGGTTCTAATTTATGAATGATTCAGTTCACCAACTTTTTAGTTATTTTTAAATTATTCATTTAAAAAAGATATATGAATAGTAATTTGGAGGAGTAACACTTAATAAAATTAAGTAAACCTTTTCTTGTAACAAAAAACTGAATAATATATAAAATAATCTTGTTAAAATTATGAAAACTATGGTATATATGAAAGGTTGCAGATTCCTGTAATTGGGAACAAAATTAAAAATTGTATGAAAACATACTTAATATTTTTTGTTACGTATGTTTATACTTTACGTTATTTAAAAAAAAAGTTATTTAGTGCTTTGTGGCATTCTTTGGAAGAGGCTTATGTTCAGTAGTGGACTTGTGAAGGGCTGTAATAATGATGACGATCGTTATTTCTAGTTGCTTCGCAATTAAAATGCAAGCTTTCGTAATATCGTTACAATAAAATTTTGTTTCATATTTTATTTGAGCCAAACCTATTTTTATGTCAAGCCAAATTTTAATTTTTTTACGTAGTAGAGCCAGACTACCAGCGCGAAATAGCAGCATAATGCTGCTGTGTTTTGTGCATTCTCAGTACTCAGGGTTCACAACGCATTCTACATTTTGATTCTTAACCGAGGATAGATGTAGGTGTCTATAGGGCTGGATCCACTTACCAGCAGGTGAACAGTGTGTATGTTTGTCAGCCTTATTGAATATAAGAAAAGTATTGTGTTAGCTGATAACGATATCTCTTGTGGGTGCTGACTGAGAGACGAGTGAAATAGATGTAGGTTTTTTTTGATAGACATGTGAATAGTATTTCATTACGAGTGCGAAAGCCTGTCATTGCAAAGAGTTCCGACAAATGTCTATCCTAGCCGAGGCGCAGCCGAAGGTGAGGGTTGACAGTCGGAACAAGTACGGTTCCGCACGTGTACTGAACAACTATGTTTAATACAGTTGCGAAAAAATAAAGCAATTTAATAAAGAACATTTTTGGAAAATGGCGCCAACCGTAAAAGAATATAAGCAGAGATTTTTTTTGTTTTCTTCACCCATTCTGGGTAGGCAAAGGGAACTATGCCCATATAGCCAAGTCTTCAGTAGATTTTTTTATTGATATGAAATGAAAATGAAATTTAATGATATGAAATGGAATGAAACCTAATCTAACTCATTGAATCAAATCATTAAATCTGATATTGAAACAAATTAGTACCTTATTTTTAAAAATATTTGCATGAATCATAAAAACTTCTATGATTTTTTTTAGTAAAAACTTTATGGTTGGTTTTTTGTTTTTAATAGACATTATTTTGACAGTTGGGAAAGAGAACGCACGAGTTCGGAAAAGGTAAAGAAAAAGCACGAGTATGTAATAGCCCACATCCCGAACGCTATACGTCCCTGCAATACGCCACTTTTTGAGCAACTGTATTAAAAATAGTGTTGTAGTTTATATATACATATATATGGAGCTATAACTTTTTTTTAAAGTAAGATATAAATCGAATACGCACTACAAAGTCAGTGATAGTAAATGGATGCTGTTGTTTATAAACTTTTTTTTTCATAGGATATGGCTGGCAAAAGAGCACACAGTCCACCTGATGATAAGTGGCTGCTGTGGCCCATAGACATCTACACCTATCCTCGGTTACGAATCAAAATACAGATGCGTTGTCACCCGTGAGGACTAAGATGGAATGCCTCGTTTCCACTAAAAAGGGTCTCCGGTTCTCTACACTCTCCATACGAAATACAGCAGCATTAAGCTGCTATTGTACGTTGGTATTCCGTGAGAGCGTGGTCCTTCCTCAGTCGAGCTGATCCATTCGTGCTACAACTATGCTACTAATAAAGCTGCAGCATGGCTCTACCACATAACTTATATCTCGAGTAAGAATCAAAATGCAGATGCGTTGGCACCTCTGATACTAAAGTGAAATAAAGGATGTTAGTGTTCTGTGGGTGAAATGTCTCAACTCGTTACAAGTGAGAAGGGTTTTCGGTGGAAGTTTTTCGTATGGTCTTCATACAACATACGAAAAACTTCAAGCTGCTTTTTACTCTAGTATTCAATGTAAGAAATAAATATATAAATAAATAAATAAACAACTAAATACATATATAAATAGATACATAATTGAGAAATAAATAAATATACGGAGTGGGGGAAAAGTTTCTTCGTATTTTGTTTGTATAAAATTGAAGAAAAATCTCTTTGGTTATATTGTTTGTAGGTATCTGGCTGGATTTAATATCAATACAGATAGGACATTAAGAAAAATAAAAATATAAAGTAAAAAACACTATCCCGCCATTTTTCAATTGTTTTTCTGTTCACCAAAATGAGTGTATCTAACGAAAAAAAATTAGTTAAATTCTGAAGTTTTCTTAGAAAAAAGGGAAAGTACGACTCAAGCCGCGAAAAAAATTGTGACGTTTATGGACCAAATGTATGAATAGATAAATAATTGAATATAAGAAAAAAAAACAAGTTCGATCCTCGTTGGAGACAATTAACTTGTTAATTGCTATTTTAAGTCCTGTTTTATTACGTGATTGTTGGTGAAGTAGTGTGTATTCCGCCAACACGCACTGCGCGATGCCCTTAATCCTTCATAATCCTCTAAAAAGTAAGATGAAGCCTTTGCCCTGCAGTGGCCTCAGTTTGTTATGGCTGTAGCTTAAACTTCTTAATGTATTTCTGACAATTTAACGAATCTTGAACGGGAAACTAATATAGCAACTGACGTCTGAGAGATTAAGACGCAGTATACTCGTGAGTCTCCAATATCTTCAAGTGAGTTAGCTGCCATACATTTCAGTATGAATTGTTTAGTGGTGTTGCCGAGAACGTCACCTTGGTGTTCCGGCGAGATACGGGTCTAAGGAAAAATTTACAACTACCTTGAAATGAAATCAGATATACTGATAACACTGAGCAAATATTTATATATATTTAAAAAAAGAATCCCGCTGGTTTGTTGTTGGTTGTTACCAGAAGTATTTACCAATTTTAAACATTGATTAATAATATTATTCTATTCTATAAAATAATCATTATACGAAAAATAATTACATACCTTAAATAATTTGAACAATTATATCTCAGAATTTACATCACAAGCACTGAAATATCACTGTTCGAAAAACAATTTATAACAAATAACTTTACGTTGATTGTCGCTTACACAAATTATATATTAATTATCTAGTTACCTGTCCCTTTCTTTTGTCATTTAGTGAAGAGAGAGAGAGAGCAACATTAAGCATTTCGTAAAGCCTCGATTTTTATGAGTAAAGCCGGTTGGACGCTTGTCCAATGTGAATGTAATGTAAACGAGTTACATTCAAGACGCAACGCTAAAGACTAAATTATTTGATAACAAACGTCGCTTGATATTTTCGGAGAATACTAATCAAACTGGTTTTAGACTTTATGGCTTCGACATACGAATGTAGAGAAATAATTGTTATTCTTGTAATATGTTTATAAACTGATAAATAATTTTAAAAGAACTTATATGATTATTTAATTCAAGAGGCAATGTCATTGATATGAGAGCCGCATTTGTCTAAATTACACAAGAAAGTTTTTTTTTGAGTACGTCATATCTACACGAGGAATTTTGTATCGTGGAGGCTCAAATACCATTAAATATATCCTCAATTAACAGTAACGATGTAGATATGCCCCATTACCTCTAAATAATGAAACTTTTGATAAAAGATAAAGCCTAATTCAAAGAAGCAAG